TTCGCGGGCCTCAAGCGTTCGGAAATCCTCCGAGACTCGGGCTTATTATACCCTTAGGACACGATGACTTTCTCCCCAAGGCTGGACTCACGCGCTGGCACGCCGCGGGCGCCCGATAAGTGGAAGTCGACGATGTCGGAGGCCTGGACGAGGGTAGAGGCGTGGATGGGAGTGAACCCCAGGGCTCCGTGATAGTGTCCCACTTTAGGAAGCTCGTCGGGCCCCCTGTATGGGCCGGTGTCAACCAGTCACACACAAGGCCTGCCGGCCAGCGTCCACTGGCAGGGACAGCGAGCACGGGCCGGTGTCTGCCCAGCCACACAGTGCTGCCGCCACGCCCCGCCGTGCCCCGCACACTGCAGCTGCCATCGTGAGAATCAGAAAAATCAGGGGCTCGGTCCCAGCCTTCTCGTGTACTTGCTTTGAGAAGTCAGTCGGCAACTTTCCTGAGCTGCTTTTCGCTTCCTCATAAAGTCGGGGTCCTGCTGGCTCGTGATCAAGACAGAAGGGGGTCATTCGCTCATTCGGCGAACATTCATCGATGCACTGGAGCTGCGGGGAAAGGCCTCCCTCCGCGAAGCTTGTGTTCCCGCGGGGGCCGAAACGGACACGTGGCGTCCCGCCGGGTGGCGGCACACGACGCACGCGGAGGGAGGCGAGGCAGGAAGGGAAGGGGGGCCCCGCGGGCCTGGGGCGGCGTCGGTCCTACGTGGTGGTGACGGACGCTCCAGCGAGAAGCCGACCTGGGAGCGAAGGCCGGAGGTCCCCCGGGGCCGAGAAGGACTCTGAGCCGGGCGTCCCGCTGAGCTGCGGAAGGGGCCGTGCTCGGCCCAGCACTTGGGACGAAGGACGAGTGAAAGGAGAACCTGGTGGGAATGACCTTCGCCCCACAGGGCGTGTCTGCCCCCTGCTCTCCCTCCAGGTCCCGGGGTGGCTGCCTTTGCCCCAGGCGGGAGGGAGGCCCTGGGAACGGCAGTCACACGCTCACGGCCGACAGGGCCCTTCCACGTCACTCCCCACCGCGGCGGCCACGGCGTCGTGAGGCAGGCAGGGTGCACGTCATTACGCCCCACTCCCCTGAAGGGGAAACGGACCGAGTCTGGGAAGCGATTCGTTCAAGGTCACAGAGCCGCGAGGGCGTGCAAGTCCGTCTTTCGGCTGCGGCCGAGTCTTTCGCTGTGCCAAGGCCAGACTTACACACACAGATGGTGACGGTGCAGCTACGGCCAACTTTTTTGTTTTTTTTTTTAGTGTGAGTGGTGTGCCAGGCACTGTTCTAATTGTTATAGAAATATCAGCTCATTTAACCCTAACGGTAACTCTACGTGAGCTGGTACAAGGTTCGTCCCCTTCTACAGGTGGGAAAACTGGGTCAAGGTCATGCAGACTCTAAGAGGCAAACCCTGGATTCGGACGTAGGTGGTCCGGCCCTAGAGCCCGTGCATTCAGCCAGGACCCCGGACAGCCCGGTGAGGCGGCGACGGGCAGCGCGGAGGCTGAGCGGTGTGGGGAGCTGCGGCAGAGAGCTCACCATCAGCGAGGACAGCGACAGGCACGACAGGTGTGTGTACGAGGCCAGCTGGGAGCGCGGCCGCTCTGACGAGGGGGCCAGGGGAAGAAGCCGCGATGCTCGGAGCAGGAGGAAGGAGCACGAGCTGCCGCAGGTGGCGAGGAGGGCAGCGTTCTGAGCAGGGGGCACTAGCGCGGTCGGAGGCCACCAAGGGTCAAGGCGGGTCCTCGGTGTGGGGTCTTTCACTGGAGAACGTAGCGAGCACGGGGCCCGCGGCTCAGTGGGGACACGGCTCTGATGCGCGAAGCTGGACAATGACTGGAAGACAAAGCAGTCCACTTGGCTGGAGTCCCGCGAATTCCCAACAAACCAGCTGGACCCAGGACAAATGGCCGGAGCTGTCGACTCACTGAGATTCATGGGAAAAGCGTTAGGTCACGGCTCCTGCCAGGAAGCTGAGTTGTTACTGACGGGGAGAAGTGATTCTGAACCCGAGGTCCCTGGCAGCCTCTGTGACAAAAGTTTATCTGCTGAAAGGAACAGCCGAAGTCATCTTAAGTAACTAAAATTTAAATCTTTTATGATTCATTAAAATACTCTAAAGGAAAATACTGTATCTGTAAAACACCATAAAGAAAATAAAAAGACGGCACGAACTGGAAGAAGAAATCTCTACCACACAAACCGGCGAACTTCCTCTCATCTAGGACGTAGAAAACTCAGGCTCACGAAGAACAAAAGAGAGAAAAAAGACAAAAACAAAGCAGTGGGAAGACGGGCAGAAGGCGCGCATGACGGTTCACGGCAGAGGAGACACGAGTGACCACCGGACGCATGCGGGGGTGCTCCCGAGAGACCCCTCCGCCCGCTCGCTTGGCAGAAAGCAAAGTCGGATGGGGACAAGTGTCGACGAGGCTGCAAAGGGACAGGGAGTCCCAGGCACAGCTGAGGGAAGCCCAGCGGTGCCATCGCGCCGGGGGACCGCACGGCGTCCGCTCACGAAGTCAGGAGTGCGTCCCCCCTGCGAACCCCTGGTCTGCTCTTAGGTACGCGTCCCCGAGAAGCTCACGCCGTGCACCGGGAGCGGTGGCCCGGCACGTGGGCAGCTGTGTTGCTCGTTGGAGGACAAAGCTGGAAGCCACCCAGACGTCCAGCGACAGGTGGATGGATACGCGAGCTGCGACGGAGTCACGTGGTGCACTGAGCAGAGGACTGGAAATAGGTGTAGCCACGCAGACCCGCACCTGTCGAGTAGGAGAAAAGGCAGCTCGTGGAAGAGCTGACCGCGTCCGTGATACTGCGCATGGCAAGGCGCCCATGACTGAGAGGCTCAGCACCACCCGCGTCCGCTGCCGCCCAGTGGCTGCGGCTCAGGGGCAGGCAACACGGGCACCTGTGGCTCAAGGTTGAGGCGGGCACACCTGAGTGGCAACACTGAAGAGGAACGAGGTCGTGATCGGCGTGACATTCAGGATGTTGATGACCTCTGGGGGTCTGAAGGGCGATGACACCCAGGTAGTTCCGCGGGGCGGGGCGGGGC